AATGCTGGTTCTATGGCATATGTGTATTAAACTCAGTCTCAGATGTTATGTTATTAAGGGAAATCCTAGATGTAAAACTAATGAATTCTATATTTTAACAGTTTGCATGCAGAAAGATGGCTTTTCTCTATGTGTTATTCAGTCATCTTCTTCCTCAGGCATCTTCTATGATCTTTCAATCACTGTATTCAGATGGAAGATGCAGGAAAAGGCTACGATCACTTCTTAAACACTTTAACCCAAAAGTAAGGCATGTGATTTCTGCTCACAGGCTAGGGAAAATGCTAATTAAAGGTTTGCACTTAGGTGACAGGGAATCCAGAAATTGCAGTTCCTCCTTAAGAAGCTGCTTCCCAAGGAAAACACCTAGCTGTGGAAATTTGGTAGACAGTCATAATTATTTTTGCCACAGGTCTCCACAATGGACTAGTACTGCCCAGCTGAATCAGGACAGCTTTACAGAAATGGTGGGACATGACCAGACTTGAATAATAAATAGGCATTTTCCAGGAGGATAAGCAAGAGGATGTACCAGCTTAAGGGAACAATGTGCGCAATAGCTGGCAGATAAAATAGAGCAGGTGTAAATAGGAAAACACGTGAGTTCCATCTTGCTTCTGCACTAATTGTGTGATAGCAGTGAAAGATGGGACTACAGGAAATAGGTGTAAATAGGAAAATAAGTGAGTTTCATCTTGCTTCTGCACTGTGTGATAGTCAGCAGTGAAAGATGGGATTACAGGAGCAGATGAGAAGCTGAAGATGAAGTCCCTAAATGTCATTATAGTAACACCTTATCTTATCTTTCAATTCTGCTTTTCCTCAGTTTTCTCATTAATTGGATCTAGGTCCTCACAAACTATTGTTCTCCTTCTTGCTCATTCATGAGGATAATCTCCCTGCTAGACAGGGCCACTAAAAGGGAAATCTTTCCTATTGAATGAATGACCTTTTAATTCTCCCAATTGACTGTATAGATAAAGCCTGGTCATGTGTCTCGGCCAACTGGTCCTCTATTGAGAAAAGAAGAGCATGGTTTTCTTACACACACAGACATAACCTGAGTGCACCAAGGACATGGGCAAGGGTTGTCCATATAACATTTTCTAATTAACTGCCTTTTGAAATGTAGGCAGTTCAGTGTATTGCCTCCTGGTATTGTGTTTCCTCATCGATACCCTTCAGCCCCAGTGACAATCCCCAGTGACAGCAATATGTTCATTTATTTTTAATATTCCATGACCTACTCAGGGTTATGGCCTCATTAAAAAACGATTGATGTCTTTGGCATAAGCCTGTGAAGTTTCCTTGTTGTCTGCATTTAAACTTGTTGAAGAAAGAAAAAAAAAATGAAAAAGATTGCCCTAGATCTTTCCAAGACTGTAACAAAAACTGACAAGAGTAATTGTTTGCCACTTCAGGGACTTACAAAAATAGATAACCAATCAAATGAGGTCAGTAAATTTTGTTTCTCCTATGTATGGTTGAAAATGATGTTATTTTTAAAGTTTTAAATTGCTGACTTTAATGAGAAATGTCTGACTCTCCTATTAATTTGACTTAATTAATTTTCTGTGAATACCAGGATCCTGGAATATGTAGAATCTTTTTAACTTCAGGTTATCTAATGCAAATTGCACAAATAATCTTTTTGTGAATCTCACTACAAATACTGTAGTGGGAAAACATATATAATGCATACAAGTCTGCATAGTTCAGACTAAGATTGAAATACTGACAGCTGTCAAGAAATGTGACTATCATAGGATAACTTAGAAATTTACAGACAACAACAGTAAAGATAGTACTTGAAATGAAACATGTTTTTATGCTTACTGGTTGCTAATAGTTAATATTCATAATTATGCATTTCTCCTGAAGCATTTTTTTGAGCTATAGAATCTTCTGAATAATAGAAGAAAGACTGAACCCTGGTAAGCATCATTTTGTTAGTAACTATTGTATGATAAATTGATTATTTGGAAACTGGATGTCAGTGTTTGGTACACATGTTAACCCAAGCATTAACTGAATACCTAATATCTGCCAGAAAGTGCTGCAAGATTGAGTGCAATGATGAACACACTATAGCTGCTGACACTGAGTGAGATATTCACAGTTTAATAGAAAAGATAGTATGTGAAAATGATCCCACCAAATTGCATAAGTGTTGAAAGAAAGATGAGTACTAGTCCTCTTGGGAGCAGAGGAAGAGACAAGAAGAAAAAATCCAATTTGCTCGAGACTTTAGGGATATATAAATGTGGGTTAGAATTCCAGATCTACTACCTCTTTATCATGTATGAGTAGTGTAATCTTAAATCCATCAATTTACTTCTTCAGTCTCATGGAGATACTCAAAATACAGGGTGTTGTGAAGATTAAACACAAAAACTCATGCATATGGGTAAAATAATGTCCAAAAGAATACATTCTTTAAAATCTTAGTTTTTCATTATCTTAATATAAAGAGAGATGGGTAGTATTTCAGAATGAGGAAGGCTTTCAATATAAACTAAAGGTTTGGCCGGGCGTGGTGGCTCAAGTCTGTAATCCCAGCACTTTGGGAGGCCGAGGCGGGTGGATCACGAGGTCGAGAGATCGAGACCATCCTGGTCAACATGGTGAAACCACGTCTCTACTAAAAATACAAAAATTAGCTGGGCATGGTGGCACGTGCCTGTAATCCCAGCTACTCAGGAGGCTGAGGCAGGAGAATTGCCTGAACCCGGGAGGCGGAGGTTGCGGTGAGCCGAGATCGTGCCATTGCACTCCAGCCTGGGTAACAAGAGCGAAACTCCGTCTCAAAAAAAACAAAAAACAAAAAAACAAAAACAAAAACAAAAACAAACAACAACAACAACAACAACAACAACAACAAAAAAAACTAAAGGTTTACTAGATACAGAAGAAAGAGAAGAATATTTGAAGCAAAAGAAAAGGATGCAAAAAACACCATACTTACCACATAAATTAGTTACTTAAGACTCCATTTATTTTGGTTTTAGCAAAAAAGTAGGATAGCAAAGTTATGTTTTAATCAAAAATGAGAAATGCAGCATATATGGAACACTGTCTAGACAGCTTAGTAAGTCCTCAGGCTCACTATATTCTATTCTACCAATAAGGAAACTAAGAGTCTAATATCTATTAACTTGCCCTGTGTTATCAGACTAATAAATAAAGCCTAAAATTCGAGCTCACTTAATCTTACCTCAAAAATCTGTACTATTTTTACCTCATTTAAACTCGAGTTATATTTTGACAATTTTAATTGATACTGTATTAATGATAGAATCTATATCACTCCAAATGTGAAATCATTATTAAATTTTTAATTTGGCTGTTTGTCCGATTTCCCAGGCAGTATTTCATTGAATATGCAACAGCAAGAAGGTATAATTATCTCTATATAGAAAGTAAGCTTTAGAGAGATAATACTAAGATCACTAAGTATAAACAAGAAAACTCAGAAATCCAAAACTATGGAGTCACCAGCCAGCAAGTGATGAAGTTAAGAATTGTCTTGGTTCATTCTGGCCACTATAACAAAAATAGCACAGACTGCGTAGCTTATAAACAACAGAAATGTATTTCCTTACTGTTCTAGAGTCTAGAAAGTCCAAGATCAAAAAGCCTGCAGATTTGATATTTGCCGAGGGCTTCCTTCCTAGTTCATAGGTCATGTCTTGCTGCTGTGTTCTCACATGGTAGAAGGGGCAAGAGAGTACTTTGCGAATCTCTTTTACAAGGATACTAATCCCATGTATGAGCACTTGCGGCCAATCGCCTCCCAAATGCTTCACCTCCTAATACTATCACATTAGAGGTTAGGATTTCAATATACGAATTGGGGGCAGTGAGCAACTCAGTCTTTAGCAAGAACAAATCCACCTCTATCTGATTCCAACCCCTCTTCCATTTCTACTACATGCAGATGCCATTTTTGATTTATAATTTGGACAAAGCCTGTACCTAATCAGAATTGACTGCATCTGGACACATCTAAGGATTCTTTGGACTGCTTTGTTGTATATATCACTGAAGATGATCAATAACTCTCAAGGTTTTTCAACAGTTTATTTCTTAGAAGACCTGAATTTAAATCAACTAACCAAAAACTGAATTGTAAACTCACACTGATAATGTGAGAGCCAAGCAAATTATAAGTAAAACCTTTCACCATCATTCCCACCTGTCTGATATTTAAACTCTGATGGTTTCCACCTTTATGCGGAATCAAAAAGTCAGAATATGCTTCTTGGAATAGAATATTGGGACCCAAATGAAATAGTCTCCTGAAAAGTAAATAAAAGAAACCCTCTCAAAATCAGGTAATATCAAAATATCAGTTCTCAGGCAGCAAACACAAATATTAACACAATCTAGACACTCAGATTTTTTTTTCATTTTTCATTTGCGTTTATTTAAACACAGTTCTCGAAACATTTGAGTGAAATTGGGCCTCCTTTGGTAAGCAGTGGACCTGAAAATAATATTTTAAAAATAAACAGGCAAAGTCTTCAGTTCATCCATGACACAGGTGTAGTGTTCCCTTCTCTCATCATGTACTTTGAAGCACCCAGTTTTTTCATATAGTCTAAAAGCTAGAAGAACAAGAGTATATTTATGGTGGAATGTATTGTCACTTGCTAATAACTAGTTGAAATACTATCACCCCCTTGTAACAGCTTTAAGAAACAGCCGTTTAAGGCATACACTGTGTAACTCTTTGTATTTCTTGCTATACCTATTACAGATTACATAAAAGCCGGCAAATCCACATTTATATAAGCATTAAGCACTGGCTGTATTGTAGATTTTTAGTTCTAATACTAGCAGTACAGAGTTACAAAGCATAATTTTTAACACTTAGTTGCAGGTATAAGTATGGTATGTTTCATGGACTGGAGGAAGATGGGCCATTTGTCTTTAAATTTACTACTGACAACTGAATCGTTCTGGCTAAGCACTGGTATGTTAGAAAGAAAAGTAAAAATCAAACTGTTTATTGTTGCTTTTTGCCATTTGTTAGCATTTTACACAGGCTTCGATCTTCAGAGTACCCTGGATTCAGTAGAAAAAACTTTTAAATGAAGTTTTTGTACAATAGAAACTTCTCAGCAGTCAAAATTTAGACTGTAAAAAAATACATGCAAAACATACTTTTCTGAAAACACTTAACTTTGAACAAAGCAGCGAACTACACGAATGCAGAATGAAAACAGCATTTCAGCTCCACCAAAAGTGGTCATCATAAAAGGTGTAAAAGTCATCTAACTTCACTAGGCACTGTTTACTTTTTAAACAAGAGACAATAAAAAATATTGTCCACAAACAATATCCCAGCTCTAGGGCAGGTTTCAGAAAGTCTTCATGCTTTAATAGTGATGAGGTGAGTATGATCGAGATCTGGAACGTGGTCTGTATCCTCCACGGCTACAGTAAGGAGAAGGTGACCGTCTTCTGTAAATCTGATCCCTGTCTTGAGCAGCTCTCCATCCTCCTCCTCCTCCACCTCCTCCTCTGTAGGATCTGCTATAGTAGTCCTGATCATCATAGCCCCTATCATATCCTCTGTCATAGCAATCCCGACGCGGAGAGCTGCCATAGGTAGGTCTCCAAGTGTAAATTCCTGGTGTGGGAGTATGTGGTCTTTTTGTTATAGAGAAATCAACTCTGATCCTACGCCCATCAAGCTCCATTCCATTGGCACGTTCTTTAGCTTCCTTGGCATCATCTACATTTTCACGCTATACAAAGGCAAATCCTCCTGAACGCCTAGACCGCTGGTCATGGACAATAGACACATCAGCAATGGGACCATATTTAGAGAACACTTCTCTTAGATCTCTTTCTGTGGTGTACAGGCTCAACTCCAATACTCCAAGACAACAGTTAGGATCAGGATTTGCCCGATTCCCAACACGACGCCTGCGAGGGGACGTGGAAGAATGACTGCAGCTGTGCGGTCTGCGATGGTCTCCCTGTGAGGCCTGCTGCGCGATCGTCTATGGGAGCGGGATCGAGACCCTGGCCGGGTATAACGCCTTCACCTTCTTCTGGACCTGGACCTAGATTCAGAGCTGGACCTGGACTTTGATCTGGAACACCTGGAATCTTCCTTGGAGCGAGACCTTGCAGGGGTAGACCTTGCAGATGTCCCCAGTCTGTGAGCACTTCCACTCTGGAAGCAGAACGGGATTCCCTCTCGCCGTCCTTCTGCTCGCCGCTGTCGCTCGTGACTCCCGGCTGCTGTCCCCGGCTGCTGTCGCCGGTCCAGGTGCTTCAATGGAAGCTGCCACCCTCTCGCGCCTTCTTTAAGGAGGCTCAGCCGCAGCCTCACACGATACACCGGTCGCCTCCGCACAGGCTCTGACTCTCCACTCAGATTTTAAATTATTTATTCTCCTTTCTACAAACATACCAATTTCAAATTCAGCGGAAGTATCAAAAGTGGGCTTAAAAATACGATTTCATATAATATCATATAATGTATCTATACATGAAAAATCAATTTATATGTAATACATATAAGAAATGTTTATGTATAAAAACATATAACATAACATATTAAATATAGTATAAAATATAATATATGTGAGATATATGTATATGACTTATAAATGTGAGATATATATAAAAGACACACAATCACCAAATATATATATATATATATGTATATATATATATATATATATATATATATATATATATATGGTGTGCGTATATAACACAGATCTTCTCTTAGGTCACATTCAGGGATGCAATGGCTATAAAAAAATGTGAATATTTCTAGCCATATCTCAAATATTATTTGAAGAATGAGATAAAATGGACCTTCAAAGTGGCTACAATCAATTTTCTCTATTTGTTCAGAAAATATATGAATTTAGCACTAGCTATGCATACTTATAAGAATATGCATGCATTTTCTCACAGTCCTTAAACCATTCCTAGGAGGCATTAATATTGTTTTAGCTGAGAAAACAGAGACATTAGCAGGTTAAGTACCTGCTGATGTCCACCCAGCTGAAAAGGAATAGTGCCAGAATTTAAATCCAGAGCCTACATTTCAGAGTCTACACTTAATTTCCCCTCCAAGTACTCAGTTGCATGAACTATATGGTAGGCAGTGTGCCAGATGCTTTGCTACCATTTAATATAACCCATTCTTTCTTTTACCTGCTGATCATTTGCATCAAGACAAATCAGGTAACTAATCAGTCAAATACATCACTTCTCTCCCCTATCAAGCTAGTAACTTGAAGCCTAGAAAAGGAGTGATCTCTGCAAAGGGGAGATGGGTTGTGGAAAATACTCTAACATATTTTAAGCAGCATCTTGTGCTCCCAAAGTAGTTTTTGGTTGGGGTGCAAAACAGATAAAGAGGCATGCAATCTTTTGAAGTCCAACGAGATGAAGGAACAATCGATGGCCCAGCAGCAGAGCTCAGACCTACAAAACCCCTCTGCCAATTCCCAGTCTTCTTCCCAGGGAGCCACATTGTTCTCATCAGCACGCTCCATAAATTTTGCAGTAGGATGCAAGCTGCTGGCTGGAAGCTGACACTGATTGAAAAACCTTGCCCCAGGCCAACTGCTGTAAGGAAAGAACTTGGGGGTTCAGAAGGAAGCACCAGGGCTTGTTGTTTGGCAGATTTGTCAGCATTTAGAGATCACAGGAGAGAGAGAATACCAAGATAAGGCTAATTCCCCAAGGGAAAATATTATACAGTTGTTCTTTCTTTCTTTCTTTCTTTCTTTCTTTTTTCTTTTACTTTGGTAGTGCAAAAATAAAATTTAGTATTAGGCAAGCTATTTTTGGTAATTACAACAGAATGTTAAGGAGATTTGGTCTGCTAGATTTTGTTGTTGTTGTTGTTGATTACCTTCCAATGAACTTTCTTTTTCCTACCTTCAAGCAATAGAGGGTGACCTAGGCTACAGAAACTTGATTTTCTCTCATTAGAGAGTAGCCAAGGGCTCTTTAAGCTAATAAAGCAAGATAAATATTACAGATAAAACAAGATAGAACATTCAGGTGGAGATGACGACAAACTGCCTTAGAGGGTTTATGTTAACAATTACAATCAGAGAAGGAGGAATCAGACCTCTAAAAAAGAAAAGCACTTTATTATTTATTTACAGCAATTTAAAAATGTTCTGCATCATAAGGCCAATTATAAACTTTTCAATCACCTCCTTCACCATAAACATAGAAGTTTTTCCCAGAAAATTATTCAAAAAGCAAAAGTAAACACTTTCTCTTTCAAACCAGAACAGAGTCATTTTTATAGTAGGAAGAAAATGAAACAAAACCTGCACTATAATTCACTGAGATTGTCTTTTTAGCCTGTTGGAAATTCTGGGGGGCACGTGTTTGGATCTATAAGGCAATTCTTCTTGGTATCCATTAGGAAAAGGCCTGCAATTTCTCCCCATGTAAGTTATCTCTTAATTCTAATCTTTCTAATCCCACAATTTCAGGTATTTTCTTTATATTTCAGTTTTGTTATTGTTGTTGTTTTCCTTTTTCTACGCTCCTAGGTACCTTTCAATGGACAATCAGTTGCTCTACACTTTGCTTTAGTTTTTATTTATTGATTCTATAATTTAACAGATATCTGGAGACAAGAATACTAATTGGTAACATTGGAAAAATGAATAAAACTAGGTCTCTGTTTTGATTAATTCACACAAGCAGAAAAGTAAACAGACATAAAAATCTATAATTATACATTGTAAAAAAATTTAACATAGCATTTGAAAAGTCACTCCATAGGGTCAAAAGCACCTGTCATTGAACACTGTCCTTTTCTTTTACAAAGTACAGCGGCCTTGATTAAGTTGCTTAAGTTTTCTTAACCCTGATTTCTTTGTCAGTAAAATAGAGATAATAATGCCCAGCTCAGAGAGTTCAAAGTGATAAAAATATGGTATATATATATATATATATATATATATATATATATATGTATAGCAAATAATATATTAGATTCATAAAATGTGGTGGGACAGGGGAAGGAAGGACTAACTCAGTTAAGACTTCCCAGAAATGTGAAATGTGAAGTGAAGTCCAAATAAATCATAGACAAAAATTCAAGAGGTGGTTATGAGAAAGTCCTAAAGGTAAAATCTGTAACAGATATACAGATTATACAAGGATGACAAGTAGTTATTTATATTTGGAGTGTGAGCTCATGCTGAGTGATTGAAGACAATTAAACTTAAAAAATAAGTTGGGAGAAGATTATGAAAAGACTTGTATTCCATGCAAAGGAATTTTAATCTCTGCAAATGAGAAATAATTAGAGATCTTTCAGAAGAGTATAAAATACCAGAATTGTACCTGAGAAAGTAAAATGTGAACAGTGGGTAACAGTGGGGAGAAGTTGGGGGCAGAGAAACAAATTTAGAGCACATATCAATTACTTAAAAATAACATTTATGTTAAATTATATATATGTTTATATCATATTTATATTATAAGATAACATAAACTTATGTAATCATATAAAGGAAATAAAACCTCCAGTCAAGCAATGATAATAAAAATAAAAAGAATGGATGGAAGGGAGAGAAAAGAATTTAGAAAACAGTAATTGACTAGATATAAGGAATTGTGGATGTGGATATGTCAAAGGCATTGCTGGATGTTTTACCCTGAGAGACTGTGTGGCTTGTGAGCCCCCTAGTTATTATATATAATTCAGGATAGAAAGACAGAATGAGGGTGTATGATGAAGTGGACCATTATTCACCAATTCTTTTTTTTTTTTTTTGCTGTTGTTATTAAAGAATGTTTAATAGCATGAAATGATGTTTACTCTACAATAAAAATGAAAAAAAATTACAAAATGATATTTAATAATATGATTCCAGGGCCAGGTGCAGTGGCTCAAGCCTGTAATCCCAGCACTTTGGGAGGCCAAGGCGGGCGGATCACGAGGTCATGTGATGGAGACCATTGTGAAACCTCATCTCTACTAAAAAATACAAAAATTAGCTGGGTGTGGCCGTGCAAACCTGTGATCCCAGCTACTCGGGAGGCTGAGGCAGGAGAATTGTTTGAACCTGGGAAGTGGAGGTTGCAGTGAGCCAAGATCATGCTGCTGCACTCCAGCTTGGTGCCTGGCAACAGAGCAAGACTCTGTCTCAAAAAAAAAAAAGAATAATAAAATAAATATATATATATGTGTGTGTATATATATATATATATATATATATATATATATATACACATATATAATTCCAAAGGAGCAAAGAGTGTGAAAGAATGTATATCTTCATAGAAATATTTCTATAGATTCATATGTAGTTATAGAACTGGTATAAAATATATGTAATTTTTTTTTTTTTTTTGAGACAGAGTCTTGTTCTTTCACATAAGCTGGAGTACAGTGACACCATCTCAACTCACTGCAACCTCTGCCTCCTGGGTTTAAGCAATTATCCTATCTCAGCCTCCCAAATATCTGGGACTACAGGTGCATTCTACCATGCCTGGCCAATTTTTGTATTTTTAGTAGAGATGGAGTTTTGCCATGTTAGCCAGGCTGGTCTTGAACTCCTGACCTCAGGTGATCTGCCTGCCTGAGCCTCCCCAAAGGCTGAGATTACAGGCGTGAGCCACTGCACTCAGCCTATATGTAACTTTTTTAAAATGTACAAATTCTTTATATATATATATATATATATATATATATATATATATACACATTATTGAACTTTAGGTTCTGGGGTACCTGTGAAGAACATATAAGATTGTTGTATAGGTACACACAGGGTAATGTGGTTTGCTGCCTCCATTCCCATAATGTATATCTGGCATTACTCCCATGTTATCCCTCCCCAACTCCCTATCCCCTACTGTTCCTCCCCTAGTCACCCCCTGCAGACCTCAGTGTGTGATGTTCCTCTCCCTGTGTCCATGTGTTCTCATTGTTCAACACTCCCCTATGAGTGAGAACATACAGTGTTGGATTTTCTGTTCTTGTGTTAGTTTGCTGAGAATGATGGTTTCCAGGTTCATTCATGTCCCTACAAAGGACATGAACTCATTGTTTTGCATGGTTGCATAGTAATCCATGGTGTATATATGCCACGTTTCCCTGTCCAGCCTATCATCTATGGACATTCGGGTTGGTTCCAAGTCTTGGCTATTGTAAACTGCTGCAATGAACATATGTGTGTGTGTGCCTTTATAATAGAAAGATTTATGGCCAGGCACAGTGGCTCAAGCCTGTAATCCCAGCACTTTGAGAGGCCAAGGCTGGTGGATCACGAGGTCAAGAGATCGAGACCATTCTGGTCAACAAGGTGAAACCCCATCTCTACTAAAAATATAAAAATTAGCTGGGCATGGTGTCGCGTGCCTGTAATCCCAGCTACTCAGGAGGCTGAGGCAGGAGAATTGCCTGAACCCAGGAGGTGGAGGTTGCGGTGAGCCGAGATCGCAC